ATATGAATAGATGTCATTATAGAGTTTTATTTATTGGCTCACTTCTTTAAATGTCGACACCGCTTACGAAAACTTTTGTGTACGCCCCTGCTAATGTCGAACCCTGATTCTAAATCCAGAATTCACCACTATTCCTACAGCTCATGGCAGGACCCCATTACATGAATGAATCCACAACTTAGAAGTTGATTAAGATGATGGAATTCATGAATGATATGATTAATTGGGTCATTCTTTTTGGCTAATTAATAAACTCATTATATGGTGGGGGTATTGTTTAATGATAAATTGACAGTGGAGGCAAATAAAGCTTGTGGCTTTGTTAGTTAGTCTCATCACAACTTCTTTATTGGATAAGGAATAATGACTCCATTAAGGTCTATTTTTCAAAGATATTTTTGCGTTAAAGTTTAATTCGAATCCAAAGACGGCAAAGCGTAGAATTGTTAGTGCTAAACTCATCATCATTTCCTGCATTTCCTTTGGATTTCTTGCCTTTTTTTTTTCTCCTCATGGTTTAAAGATAACAAGTGGTCCATTTAATTCCTTTGATCAATTGGAGCGTCTTTGAAAGTCCAATACGTAAATGCCTTTGGTACATAATAGTCAAGAAATGATTGTATCAAACTTCTTCCCTTTTGGAACCGTTTCTTTCTTTCTTTATTTATTGCACTATTCCTTTTCTTGATAAACTTAAAATTGGCTAGAGAAAGTTTTCCTCTCGATTGGGGGTTCTGAATGATCAGAAACAGATGTAATTTTCTACCTTATAATGAACTAGTAACTTTGTCCTAAAACTTAATACTTGCAAAATATTGTCTGTGAAGTTGACAACCTATGACTCCGATCTCCTTTACGTTCTTGGTAGCTTTTGCTTTTAAAGTATAGAATAATAATGGCAATCAAATAGGTTGATTTAGTAAAACACAAATATTATACGGATGCATATATAGCTGCAACTTGAAGATAGATAGGACATACAACACCTAATAAATATACAACATATTTTATGCGGTCAAGGGTAAGGAATATAGTTTTTTGGAGCAAAATTATGTGTCTTTTTGCTTTGAACAAATATAGTAATGTTTCAATTCAGAAGGGTCTACTAAGGCCGTTAGATGAAATCTCATGCAGTATTTTTCGTTGCACATTAGGGTAAAATAACAAAGAATATCATACAAATGGAATTGATAACAAAGAATATAAAAAAAAGAACAGAGACCCACCGAACATCTATCCAAATGAAACAATTGGGAAGAAAAAAGAAAAAAGAAATAGAATATCATATCCAAAATTTTACAGCAGAAGCATTATTGGTCAAGCTTTCATCATGCTAAGTACAATTAGTAACGGCTGGTTCTTACGGCCAGACACATGTTCCAAATCCACGCCTGCACTGCAAAAGAACTTCACATTACAGACACTGTTTCCTTCAAATGTTGTATTCCAGAGTCACTTCATTGATATGAACCAAAGTGTTTTGGATTTAAAATGTGGTCATCTGTATATACCTCTTCAATTTCCTAATGGCAATCACAACTTACCTCACTATACCTTGTATAATGCTGACTCCATAAATGTCTATCATGCTGAAAATCTTTCTCCAAATAACACCAGAGGTCACCTTAATTTGTAAGTGTCTTTACTGTACAACCTACAATTCCAGAACGTCATAATATGAAGGCCATTATAGTTGAGAAGCAGCTTTCTGGTTATACTGGCAAACACTTTATGTCGTAAACCTGTGTTTTAGTTCAACACCAGCCCATAACATATACATCTATGAAAGTTCTTATTAATCTAAAACTTTTTTCGAATATATAGAGAACCAAAATAAATAAATATATGAGATAAAACATACTTACGAAAAAGAAATATCTTAAGGAAAAAGTACGATGAATAGACTTAAGCTATTGCTCTCGTCCCTCTAGCTTTACTTTCCCTTCTGAATTCCCACTTGCTTCATAAAGAATATCTATTACTGTCACGACCCCAAGTTCCCTCCGTAGGATGTCGTAACGGCACCTAGTCTCTATAACTAAGTATGCCTAACAACATGCGAAATAATTAAAATAAAAA